ATCTAGTTTACGGTTCTCAGGTTTATGTGATGAAGTAACTGGTAGCAGCAGCTATAACTTGTAAATAAATATATGAAAGCAAATAACTGACAAATAGCTAAATAGTTAGCTATTTGTGTAGCTGTAAAAACTATTTAAATAAAAATTACGCCTGTGACAGCGCAAATCATTCTTTTGTCAAGGAAAGAAAACCTTAAAAGCTTAATGTGAAGAACTGGTAAGTGAGTAATAAGGTAGATAATAAATTGTGCTAGTGAACATAGAATTTCTAAAAAAAAAGTACTTATTCGGTTACAGAAAACAATTTCAAAAAATTTGACTAGAATTATGAGATAAAGTTTCAGTTTCTATATTAACTGCACTTTGTTCTAAGTTGAAGCCTTTGTTAATTCAAACCATTTAGTCAGATAAAACTACGGTAATTCTCTACTGGGTATGTGAAGGTTTTGAAAATTTCATGCTATAATGCGGTGAAAAAGTATCTAATTGAATTTATTGTAAAAATCATCTTGCAATAACCACTGTTTGGTTCTCAGACTAAATAACTTTCACTTTCTAAGACGTTATTGACATCAGAGCTCTCGACTGTAAATCTTAAAGTTTGGAATGCGCTGTTTATATAGAGGTGGTAAGATGCTTATTGCGTGGTTAGCACTGTAGACGGTTTCTCATTTGAATTCTTCTCAAGCGAAACCTGTCTTGCATTAGACTGCCTGTATAAATAGCAAGTAGCGAGATTTGTTACAGCTGTATATTGTCGAGACGAAAATTTTGATGACAAATGTATCGGAAAATATCGGAAGCAAATTTGCTTAGACGGAATCACTTATTCAGAATTGAAAACAATTTTTGCTGCTGCCACTGCTGTTTAAGATCACGTTATTTTTTTTTGTAATATTAAAAATATTTTATGGAGAGTGAAATAAAAGTCTTTTTTTGCAGATGTTAAGCATCTGTAATGTGCAAAAAAAAAAAAATTAGCAGTAGTAATGATAGCAAAAAACCAATAAAATTTGTTTCATTTTGTTTCTCATCTTTCTCCTTCTTTTTCATTCTTTCATATCAATTCTTCTCTTTTTCTACTTATCATTGTTGCATTTTTGTTGAGTATCCGTCTTCTTCAGTTGTTAGCCTCTGAACTAGAATCTTTTGCTGCTTCTGCTGCTGCTGCTGTCTGTCCTTTCCTTTTGCTAAGTTAGTGAAACATTTTTAGATGCTTTTATTTTTATCAAGTTTCAGTAGTAAACAAAAAAGCAGAAAAAAACGTATACATAGAACTTAATCTTGTATTTTTACAGATTTTTTTTAAAATTTTTTTTTTTTGAAAAAAAAAATTCTACAGATTTACTGTATACACCAAAATAGTGACCGTAAAAGAAGGAACAGTTAACAAGAGTTTTTCATAATTCTATTTCTGAAGATTTTTGTCTCCTTTCCCTTCTTAACCCATATACATATACGTAAACCGAAACCTGCTATTTTTTTTTTTCGTAATTTCTATGTGTTCATAAACTTTTACTGGCCACAAATATTTGTCTATTCTAAATATTGCTGGTATCTTCAGCAAATGAGCAAAGAAAAAAACTGGTTAATTTATATTAATTTTATCAGTTTTGTATCAATTGTTTCTATTCAATACATTTGCTATTCGTTTTTCTGTAGTTGATCTTTTTCCCTCTCCAACCAAAGCAAAGAAAAGAAGACTTTGTATAGTTTATTGTTGTTAGCAGTATTTTGTCTTTATTTTTTCCTTTTTCCACATTTTAAATCATTTTCAGTTTATTACAGTTTTACTTCATACGAAAGTGTTATTATTTTGCGACAACAACATAAAGACAATAAGAGAAAAAAAGGGAAGGAAAATGCTGATTTTGCTGAAAGATACAACTTATCCACACTGTATGGCAAGAAGTATAGCAGCATTTACAGCACCAGTAGCACAGTACAGAATATTGCCGTTTTTTTCCTTTTGTTTTCTTCCTAAAAGACAAATAAGATCTAAAAAATAGAAAACAAATAATAGCTCCATTCTTAATTAAATAAATAAACAAATAAATGAAATTAACTTTGTTTTTTTTTTTTAAGAGAACACTTTGACTAGACGGTGAAACTGTAATTTCAATTTATGCTGTAAAATACAGTTACACTTTCTAATAGCTAACATTGTAATGGTAATAAGACAAATAAAAAATTGATTTTTAAACAGAATCTTAAGTTCATTTATTCTGACCAAAATTTTCCTTTTTCTTTCGTAACAAAAAACTGAGCAAACATTTTTTGATAATCAAAAAAAGCAAAAAAAAAAAAAAAAAATTTTTTTTTGTTGAAACTCATTGCAATAATTGTTTATGCAAATAACCTTCATAACTAACTGAAAACAAGCAGTTAGCTTAAGCTCCTGGAGCCGGGCAACCGTTACCACGTTCTCCTGGTTTACATTTACAGTCTTCATCCTTCATTCGGCGTTCAGTTATGTCACGGCCATCACGATCTTTGCCAATAACACATAAGCAACCTGCAAATTAGCAGACAATAAACAAACAGATACATTGAAGAAAAAACAGTATATCGAAATGAAACAGAGTATAATGATTCTTTATTGACATACAATAAACAAATGACGTTTCAGCGACCATACGGTAGAATATTCATAAAAATTTCTACGCAAATCTAAACAACAAAGAACATCTGACAGTTTGTCAAGTTTTAACTATGCTGTTCTTTTAGCTGGTTTATGCAGCACTGTGAGATTACACAGCCATACCATGCTCTTGAAGCCTCATTCTAGATGTTTCAGTATTGATTACTTCCATGTAAAAGACAAGTTTTTAATCTCAGGCAGAATTTACCATAAAAAATTACATACGGCGGTATAAAGAAACCGGCAAACGTCAAAGTTAAACGCACAGAAACTAAAAAAAAATACCCTTTGGGCGTGGAAAGCATCCTTCCTTAAGTCCTTTGAATTTTTCGTTCAATTCGTCTACAACTTTTCGATAATTAGCTTTTGCTTTTTCAGCTACAGGATCTTTTTGAGCACCCCTTTTAATTCGAGAAGACTAAAAACAAAGCTTTTTTTTAGCTTTATCTTTATTATCTTCTATCAGTTAAGTTAAAAATGACTGAAAGAATAATTAAAAAATAGTTGAGGAACAAGCATTAATTCTGCAGAAAATGTGAAAACACTGTAGAAGATTTCTGTTAGCTCAGGATCTGTAGAAATGCACTTAGAAATGTATGAAATATCTCGTTGTACCGCATACTGCGCTAACATTCAGGCAGTATTTTCTAGCTTCCACCTATTAAAAAAGTGTTTTCCCTCTTTCCCTTTTCATCACAAAAAAAAAAAAACACTGTAAAATTTATCTAACTAAGTCCCTAACTAATTAACAATGAAAATAACAGTTCAAAATCTTTTCATTTATTTGATGATTATTTTGATTTAGCCGCAGCTATACAAATACAATAGCGATAGAGGAAATGGTGTCCAGTCAGTACCCTTTACATCTGCTTCTTCAGAATCGCTATATTCGTCGCTCACAAATATATCAGTATAATAATAAAAAAAATGGTCATTTAACAAAAGCTAACTCAAAAGCTAAATTCCATTTTTCTATGGTTAGAGAAGCGCAGTGAATAAATTTAGTTTAAATACTTTCAGATGCTATTTGATTAGATTGAAACAGAGTCAAAAAAAACTACATCGACAACAGCTGTCCAAAAAGACAGTATTTCTAAACTAAATACTGCTAACAGAAAGAATAAAAAAAAGTAATATTTTTTGAATATATCTTTCCGTTTTTAATTAAAGAAAACTGTTCTTATGTTGTCATTTTACTGACTCATTTCGCAAGCAAAACAAAAAACAAAAATTTTAATTTTTTTTTAAATTTTTTCAATCCATCGAAAAAAAGAAGAAAAACTGATTAGAAAAGCAAGAAAAATATAATAAAAAAATTAGCTAACTTGATTGCACGGGACGTGGACTACTTCATCAGAATCTGTTTTACATGCACATTCATTGTCTCCAATATATTCACAACCTTTTGGAAACCGACTAGGATCTTGCACTAAAAAAACTTAAACATTTTGAATCATCTGATTAATGCTGATAATAGCAGCTATTTTATTTTTACGAATAACGATAACATTTTTCTTTCCACTTCAATACTAAAGAACCAAACTAAGGAAAGAATAAATAAATAAATTAAATAAATAAATGAATAAATAAAACATCTGTTGTGTTTTTCTGAAAAGTGATTTTGGAAAAACAGTAACTGTTAAGTGAACTATTGACCAAAATCAAAAAACGCCAATACTGAAAATTTTTTGGTAAATTTCTAACAATGCAGCACTGAGGGTAACTTTTTTTTACTTCACCGAAACATTTAAATTTAAATACTGTTGTGGTGTAAAAATAATTTGAGTGTGTCCGACACTTAATAAACGACAAAAAAATTCAAGTTATTGATCATGTATACTTTTCCAGTTTTATTTTTTCAAAATTCTTTCTGTTTTTTTCTTTTAGGTTTCTTTTTTTTTCTTTTTTGCCTTCTTTTCCCTTTTAATGTGAAATAAATAAAAATAAATAAAAATAATTTTTTACCGACAATATCCGCTTCAAATGAAACGTCGTCACTGTCTGATGACTCATCACTACCCACTTCTGCATTAGCCGATTGTACGCCAGAAGTCTATAAGAAAAAAATTTTTTTTCCATTGTTATCAGATTATATTACTGATGTCTACAAATTAAAATAGATCGAATTGAATTTCAGAAAAAGAAAATAAGAGCAAATAAAAAAATTTTTTAAAAAGTGTTTTTTAACTATCTTAAGTCTTTTTTTTTTTTCCTTTCAAATTATCTTTCATACGAGTTACCTGTATCAGTTAAGTCCCATAATCACTGTACTCTAAAATGTTTCTTAAGCAAAAACACTAACTGTAATACTAACTGTAAACTAAATCATTTTATTTCTTTCCTACATTTTTTTTCACGCCCTGCAACAGTAAACTCTAAAAATTACTCCACAGTTACTAATAAAGATAAAGTAATGTCTAAAAATCAGCATTTTTAGCAACAATCTTTTTTCTTTTGCAATAAATATTCCAAGAAACTTCTTTTGCCAACCACTAATTTCTTGTAGGTGTTAAGGATGAGTGAGTAGGAGAAGGAGGAAGAGGAGAAAATAAAAACTAATGAGCTTTTTTTATCCCGAAACAGTACTGACAAATCAACAAAAAAAAACTTCTTAAAATCAATGACGATTTTTGAAGCTTCATGTACAGAAAAGATTATTACAAATTTTGGTCTGACAAAAGTGTCAGAAGTAATTGTTGTTCTTGACTAACTTTACACAACCACTGAACTTTATAAAAAGCCTGACGAATTTGCAGTAAAATCTAGCTCTAACTTCTTCTTCATTGACTTCCTTTCCTTCTCCCTCTTCAAAGCATTACCGTTTTGCTAATGGTTTTCGGGAAAGTAAGAAATGGAAGAGCAACAAAACGGAACAATATGACTCCCTGTCTACCTTAATCAATCCGATCGAAATGCCTCGCAACTGTTGTTAAATTGGCAGCTCTTAAAGCAGTTAACTAGCTAACAACATTTCCTTCCCAACAGCTAAATCTTTTAAATCATTGATCAGTTTTTTTTTCTTTTCAAAACTCACTGTTACCGGAATAAAGCAAAGTGTCTGATAAACAGGTACTGTACTATAAAAAAAAAAAAACGAAAGATAAGAGTGTCTAAGAAAGTTCAATTATTTTTTATAGACAATGACTAAAAAGCTGTTTTTTTTTTT